TCGGAAAATCCCGAACCACCCAGCTGGCACCACGAGGAGGTTGTTCGGCAAGCCAGCCGGTTGTTCGGCAAGCCAGCCCAGTATAGCTCAATGGATCACAGAGGCACAAAAACCATCGCACCACGGTAAGGTCCAGCCTCATTGCGATGGCGCAGCGTCGGTAGGTACGCTGCATTCGATTTACCAACCGCTTGCTGGTTCTTTATTTCAGGTGATGGGTTTGCTATCTTATATTTTTGCTATTTTAAAAAAATCTCATTTAACATCTACCTGAATAGTATTATATTAACTTGCACACGTCGTTGAAGCTACTCGTGGTTAAGTTCGCTAACATTTTCCCGTCTGTGGCATTTTGAGAAATATATTTCATGAGATCTTGAGCAAGGCGCGGATTGATTGATAGGCAATTCATTACGTATATTAATTTAACGAAGTTAGATCGGCATATATATACAACTGTTGCGGGCATCCGGTTCCGGATGTGACTGTCACCGTGGCCTTCAAAGGACAGCCACAGGACGCCTGCGTTTACAGGGACTATGGGTGGTTTGCGCTGCACCACGCACACACCCCATAACCAGTGTAAACCCGGGATGCATGTGGATGGGAAGCACATTTCATCAACGGAGCCGACCTAAACTCCTTCTACATGCGCAGCAGCAGCATTCCTGTTTACCTATGTAGGGAATCATGCATACCAGATGTACACAAAGCAGTGGCTGGGCCTAGCACGGTCACGAGGACTGTGCACCCCGTCCACTCCAGCAACGACCAAATGTCTTCTTGTGACAGTATAGAGGAAGTGGTGGGTAACAGACAGGTAGGCACTCTGTTATCTTTCACATCAAGCGCAGCCACAGCGGGGATATCAAACAACAAGCAATTCCTGAAATGCAAGAAACCCAACACGCAGGAACAAGTATAGACCAAATGCAAACAACAATGCGGCACAAGTACCATATCAGCCGCCTTATTAGTCTAGGTTGGTAAATCGAATGGAATTGGACTCAGCGCACCCACCAATCGCTTCGCTGAGTCCGCTTTGATAATCAGTTGGCTCGTCTTTCGGATGACGGCTCAATGTGGCTACGCTGGTGGTTTACCAAACCCGGTTGGTGGCCGACTACTCCTTCAACATGCACAAGAGCAGCATTACCGTCTATCTATCTTGGGAATCATGCTTAGGAGACAGATGCAAGGCGGTGGATGGGCCGTATTCGGCTCCACTTTGAACTTAGCACGGATACGAGGACCGTGCATCCCGTTCACCCAAGCAACGCTTCGCAGTCTCCTGGAGCAAGTAACCGAGATGGAGAGTAATAGAAAGGCAGGTACCTTGGCAGCATTCACATCAAACGCATCCGCACCCGGGATATGAAACAACCAACATAGAATTTTGGGGAAAAGAAAGACGCAAAATTGACACGGAATATGCAGCAGAATAATAGAACAGTTCGCTCCCTTGTTCTAATGACAATGAGCTACAGCTGAATAGGATTTCTGTCACTATGCACAACGCAGGAGGATCTGGTTGTGGTACTACTAATCGTCACCGCACCCGTCATTGGATATTCGAGAGGTCGATAAACCTATTGGAATCCAGAAGAAACCTTCCGGCTGGCTGGCCCAATATGACGAGAAGGACTATTAGGCGCGAACTAAAAGGAAGTCTGCGCACTGACAAAGAACTCTGGTGGACCAGTCGGGCTCAAGAAATGGAGGAGGCGGGGGCGGTAGAGAATTATCGTAACTTCATCCAAGTGAACCGCACCACTGGTCCCAGGAAACCAGGCGTCAGTGAGACAGTCAGAGGCAGCGCGGATGTTTCGATTCACCATAAGGAGCGCCGTATGGCTCGCTGAACGGAAGATTTCTAAAATCAATTCCGTTGTTACCCTGCTTCCGGACCTCTTCCTAACGAAGTGATGCAGAATGAGCCATGCCCGGTTAGTTTAAAATCGCCGACGGAAGCTGAGGTACGAAACGCGATCAGAGTTCTTACTGGTTTCCGTGTTGCTGGCCCGGATTCCCTCTAACTTGCACTATATGTTCGAACATGTATGGAAGGAGAAAACCACCCAGGTTAACTGGGGTGAATAGATTATAGTGGCAATATACAAGAAGGGTAGTCGCACAGACTGGGGTATTAGCTTAATGCCAGTTGTGACGAAAACACTGGCATCAATTCTCGTTCGTCGCCTCATTGCGGAACGGAAACCCGAGATAACGGAAGAGAAGACAGGTTTCCGCCCTGGTCGTGGCCGGATATACCAAATATTCACTCTGCGGTAGGTGCTGAGGCAGCGCCATGCATACCTCAGACCGACAAGAGCTATGTCCCACGATTTCAAATGTGCGTTCGATTGAGTCCATCGATCCATTCTGTTCGAAATACTTGAGCTGAAACGTGTCCCCGTGCAATATGTGAACATTGTACTACTCTATCCTCGAACGCTACAGGAAGGGTCTGGGTCTATGGTGACCTGTCGGATAGCTTTCCGACAACAGGTGGCGCTAATAAAGGTTGTCCAATATCCCCCTTATGCTCAATTTCATCATGAGCAACTGAATTATGGTTAATTACTTATATTTTTCAAGGCATCTTCTCAAGTAACGACATAGCCGCACTGCTCGACAGTTTCTAGAATGTATTAGCATATTAGTGGGTGAATTACGTGACCTAACTCCTCGAAAGCGCGCAAAAACTGGAATTTTGTCGAAAGATGTTAAAGGATCCGAAATTGCTACCAAGATTGGTGTTAGCCAAGTGTCTGTATGCCAAATTCGAAATAACTTGCAAAAGAAATTACCTCTGTCCTCTTAACGTTCCGGATTTCGCAAGTACTACTACGTCGCTTACTTTTGCTGCTACTTTCCCTGCTTCTCGTGTTTTTCCATCACATGCCAACTTTTCTCTTGTTGATAATCCACAACCTGTTGAATCTACTTCCAATGCCCGTCTGGCTGAGATGCAAATCATCCAGCCATCATCTATCCTTCGACCCCGTACTTCATTCCGCCTGGCAGCGTTCAATGTTTGGACCCTTCTACAGATCGGACAACAGAATGGCCTGGCGCGCACTTTAGAGTCTCACGCCATCGATGTTTGTTGCATTTCAGAGACTCGACTGCAGGCTCCCAGCACCGTAATTAAGTTGTCGTCCCTAGCTGCTCCTGAAACCACATATTACCTACGTCTGTCTAGTGACAGGAAGGCAGCAGCAGCCGGCTTAGCTGGTGTCTGTATCACATTAGTTGACTGGTTTCCAATCGACAGTCGGCTGTGTGCTGTTCGGCTTCAAGGCTCATGTAGAATGAACAGACAACGTGAAGAGAGGCGCAATGTGCTTGTCGTCTCTAACTGCGTTCCAACCGACTGCAGCTGTGCATCGGTTAAGGATGACTTTTAACGTGGACTCCACAACCCCTTGAACAAGACCGAAAAGTCAGATGCCATCGTCCTTGCCGGAGATCTCGATGCACGAGTAGGTCGCCTGCTTCCGCGCGAGCGTCATCTTAGTGGCAGTCACGCGCTTGATGAGAGCCGTTCTGACAACGATGATGGACTTTTTACGTTATGCGAAGACCACCGTCTCTTTAGTTAATTACGAACTTTAGGCATACCAGAAGGCGTGCAGCCACCTGGAGTCCTCCTTCACCAACGCAAGCGTGTTCACAAATAGATCACATTGCAATCAGCTTTAGATGGCAAGGCTGGGTCCAGGGTTGTAGATCGATTTGGTCTACGTACCTCGATTCAAATCATGCTTTGGTCTGCGCGGACATCTGCATGCGCTTCGGGGGCTCCACAAAATGAAAGCTTTATACGCTCGATACCAACAGGTTAGCTGACCTCTCTACTCGAGCAAGTTATCAAGCTTCCTTATTGAATGCACTCACTAGTGCTCCACTTTGAGACATCGAAAATCATTGGATTTTCCTACGTGAAGCGATGCTAATTTCCAATCATTCAATCTGCGGAAACACAAGACGTTCTCTGACGGAGTGGATTGCCGCACACACATTGGAATTGTTTGCTCGTCTTAGAGTTATCCTGACCAATTCAAATAATAATGCACTGCGTCGCATTCTCAGCCAACAACCTAAGCAAACCTGCGTGCTGATCGCGAAACTTGGTGGTCCCAGCGCGCCTCAGAGATGGAAACGGCAGCCCACTACGAAAACTTTCGCAAGCTCTTCTAGGTCATTCGGGCCACTGGTCACAAAAGACTTGAGGTCAGTGAGGTCATTTTCCAGATTGACGGAACGTCGATAAGCAACGTACACAGGCGCATGGACCACTGGACTGAACACTTTCACACTCAATTCAGCTGGCCTCCTCTGCCGGCGAGCCTAATAAGTACACCTAGTTGCGCGCCTTGGAACGTCTCACTGGAACCACCCACTGAAGCTGAGGTATACCTTGAGCTCAGACACTTGAAGCGATT